ACCCTTTCACATTTCTTGTAATATGGTTTGGTGGTACTGTATTCCTTTAGCTGTTTTGTTTGTTTGTTTGGGGAACTCTTTATTTCTCCTTCAATTTTAATGCTAACCTTGCTAAGTAAAGTCTTGGTTGTGGGCCCTTGCTTTTCATCACTTTTAATATTTCATGCCACTCCCTTCTGCCCTGAAATGTTTCTGTTGAGAAATCAGCTGACAGAATAACGGAAGCTCCCTTGTAGGTACCTAACTGTCTCTCTCTTGCTGCTTTTAATATTCCCTCCTTGTCTTTAACTTTTATCATTTTAATTTTGATGTGTCTTACTGTGGGCCTCTTTGGGTTCACCTTGTTTAGTAGTATCTGTGTTTCCTAGACTTTTGTGTCTTTTTCCTTCTCCATGTTAAGGAATATTTCAGTCATTGCTTCTTCAAATAGGTTTTAAATCTTTCATTATCGCTCTAATCCTTCTTGTAACCCTAGGATGTGGATGTTGTTATGCTTCATGTTGACCCAAAGGTCCCTTAAACTATCCCCATTTTAATTTTTTTTTCTTTTTTGCTGCTCTGATTAGGTGTTTTCTGCTACTTTGTCTTCAAAATTGCTGATTCAATACTCCACTTCATCAAAAATACTTTTTAAAAGCGTATTCTTCATATCAGGTATTGTATTTTTCATTTCTGAATTATTCTTTTTTATGGCTTCTATGTTCTTTTACATGCTGTTGAAGTTCTTACAAGTTCCTTGAGCAAACTTATAACCATTCTTTTGAACTCTATCTGATAAATGGCTTTCCTCCATTATATTTAGCTGTTTATCTGGAGATTTCTCCCGCTCTTTCATTTGGGGCATTTTCTTTGTCTCCCCACTTTAGCTGCCTCTTTGTGTTTGTGTTTGTTTTTATGTATTAGATAGATCTGCTATGACTCTCAGTCTTGGTAGGATCGTCTTATGTAGTAAGTGGCCTGTGGAACCCAGTGGTACAGTCTCCTTGATCCCTTGAGCTGGGTGCTTCTGGAATGATCCTTGTGTGTGTTATGTGAGTCCTCCTGTTTTAATTGAGTCTTTATTGCTATTGGCAGTTTGTACTGGAATTGACCCTCAGGCTGACTGACTCTGAGTGTGAACCCCAACCACATTGTACAAGCTGCTGTGCAGGTGCTGACCACATGCAATGGAATTTGCCTCTGCAGGGTCTGGTTCCTGCTGAGATTTTTGTTTGGATATGCTGCTTGTGAAGCTAATTGGATCTTGTTCTGATGTGTCTGAAGCTGGCCAATTGGTGTGTTGGTTCTTGGGCCTCTTGGGAGGGACTGTGTTACAGGCCAATTCAGATGCTTCCTATGAGTGGCCCTGGGCAAACTGTTTGGAGTTACCAAGCAATCCACAATTTATAGCTTCCTCTGCTGGGTGTGTGTAGGAAGGACCATGTTGTGCATCAAGGCTGGCTTTCACCAGCACCGAGTACAGGGGCAGGTCAGCAAAAGGCCCAAGGCACCCTGAGATTTGTCTCCCCATGCCTCCAGATGCTGGCTGCCTGTTAGACTAAGTCACTGAAAGACCCTTTGGTGCTACTTGAGTTGCATGAGGTAGGTTCTCAGTTAATCACCAGGTAGGGGCGTGTTGTGTTCACCACATTGATACAGGTAAAAGTGCCAGTGCTATGTCTGAGTTCACTGAGCAAAAGTCCCCAGGTATACCAAGTCTAGCTGCCATCCACTGCATGCTTGCACACCTTTGTGGTTGGGCAGGGTCTCAGGGAGTTGTCAGGGTGAGGCCAGCAGAATTTATCAGGCTGAAACAGACCAAGATGTGTGAAGGGAGGGCTCTGCATTGGTAGGGCATGTGAGCAAAAAATGGTTTATGTCTTAGAGCACACAACTCAACCTGTCCCAGATTCTTCCAGGAGCTAGATTTTAGCTGGGTAGGGCCACCAGGAGTTGGGAAGATGGAACTCATGGATCTCCCTTGTGGGAGAGGTGCCAGTCAGGCTTAGGAGAAGGTGGGGGAATGACCCCCACCCCATAACCTCACAACTCAGCTTGTCCTGGATTCTGCCCAGACTTTGGCAGGGCGGAGCCACCAGGAGTTGGAGGGTAGGGCTTCCAGGAGCCTGGAAAGTGGGGCTAACAGATCTCATGTGTAGGGGAGTTGCCAGTCAAGTTCACAGGAAAGTGGGGATGATGGCTCTTTCACCAAAGCCATACAACTCAGTCGGTAACACTTCCTGAATCTGCCCAAACTTCTATACCTTGGCTAAGCCAGTTGACTCCTCATCAGGGTACAAGTTCCACTGTGTGGGAAGGCAGGGAGTCCAGAGGGTGGGACTATTGCATTCTCCCAGGCTGATGCCATATGGAGGTGAGTGCTCCACCCAAGAAAGATGACATCTGAGGTGTGGGAGAATAACTCAGTTCATGGATCTTGGCAGCTATCCCTTTAGTTCTCACCCCAGAGCCACAGACACTACTCTTTCCTCATGTGACTCTTGTCTGCTTTGTGCCCCCCTCCCCCGCACCAGAGCCCAAGGTGAGTGGCTGCAAATGAGATTTTGTGTGTTGGCTATTTTAGAGGGTGCCTGTGTCTCTAGTGGGCTCCGGCCTCTCCCTGGCAGACAGAAACCTTGCTACTTTTTACAGCCAGATATTATATGGGTGCCTTTTCCTGGTTCTGGTGCTCTGGGCTGGGGAGCCCAGCATGGGACTGAGACCTCAGCTGCTCAGAAAGAACTTTTGCTACTGAGATATCCCTCCAGAATCTCAGCCACTACCTGTGGGAGTGGGGCCAGTCCTTTTCACCTTTCTTCCTTTCCTACCAGTCTCAATGTGGCTTCTTCTGTAAATCCTTGGTTATAAGACTTCTCTTCAGCTAATCTTCAGTTCATTATTCAGGTTGATTGCTCTATATTTTATTTGTAATTCCAGTTGGGTCCTGAGAGGAGGTGAGTGTAACTTCTACCTACTCTGTTGCCATCTTGGATCCTTCCCCTTTCCCCTGAATACTCTCTGATTTGTAAGCTTGCCTGAATCTATAACACTCCCATCATCTTTTGCAACCAGTAGTTTTGGCATCCTAGTGTGTCCCAGAACTAACTCAAATAAGTGGACAATCCTGGCATCTGCAAAGCTCCCTTGGGAATTGGCATATTGTCCTGATAGCTTCTGGATATTAATACAGCCAAATATGGCTGACGGTTTGTGTTCTCAAGTTCAAGTTTTAAGATTATATTTTACCAAAATGAGGTCCAATGATTCCTTGAATATTCCAAGTGCTCAAGGATTGATAACTCCATTTAATGGAACAGTCTGATTATTTACTGAGCAACTGTTTTGTTCAAGAGTCTGTACTAGATATTATGAGGAAAAGAAAAAAGCTTAGGGGGCAGAAGAGTTGGGCTTGTGTTTAGAGCCTAAGACATGGCATGATAGATTTTTTTATCTAACTACACTGAGCTCTTTATGGACAGAGCTATCTCTGTATTCCCAGCCCTGGTACAGTGAGGGTGGGTTAAATGTAAGAATGAGTGATGTGAGGATATTTTTAAGTTGTTCACCTCTCCTGAAAACAGAGTGGCCCAAACAGTCCCATTATTTGGGGTTTAGGTGAGTTGGTTGCCAGTTAATGGTGGTTGGGCTCTTGTGATATTTTCTTCCTACTGGCTTCATGGAGGACTTGTTCAGAGCCTTGGACCAAATATTTGAAAAATGCTTGAGATTCTCCAGATAAATGTGCTAATTATTATTATAGTTTTTGTTAGTATTGTTAAAGGATAAGTATATGTGATATGAATTAGAGAGCAAAAGATTTTACATTTAAAGGGGGCAGTCCTGCTCAGCTGGCATGACCCAGTGGTTGAGCATTGACCTACGATCCAGGAGAAAGTGGTTTGATTCCTGGTCAGGGCACATGCCCGGGTTGCAGGCTCAATCCCCTGTGGGGGGGCATGCAGGAGGCAGCCGATCAATGACTCTCTCATCATGTTTCTGTCTCTCCCTCTTCCTTCCTCTCTCTGAAATTAATAAAGATATATTTCTAAAAAATAAAGGGGGCAAACCTAATTTGAATTTATAAGTTAAACAATTTAGAACTGTTCCAAATGAGATCTGCTGAAAGTAAGACCATATTTCAGATTAATGAGTTGGAAACACATCCCATTACTTCTCTCAGTCTTAGTAAACACATTTGTTTCTTATGGGTTGGAGGAAATGAGAGGACAGACAAAAGAGTTTTGAAAGGAGGAGAGAGAAAGTCATTGAGAGGAGGATTTTTTGGGAAAAAGGGGAGGACAAAGCAGAGGCTGAAAATTTGGCTCCTCTGAAGTCATCACTCAAGCTCTGGGATGACCAGGTAAGTTTTCACTCCCTTTATCTTCTCAGACTTATGGTTCTTGATAGCCAGCTACCTGTGCTATAGATGAAGGCTTCCCTGAAGTCTCTCTCCATTTGTAAGAATCCCCTGGCAAGATGAAAAGAACACTGCAGAGATGTAGACTTCTCAAAGCAGCCAGAATGCCCTGGGCATAAAAACAAAGTTGCACAGCCTGCTTTCCATTTCTATTCCTTTTTTTGGGTTTTGTAAAAGTTGTTGGATGGTGAGGTGTTTTGGGGAGGTATGTACTCTAGATACAAAAGACAATGAGTTGCCTAATTCCAAAAGATCAGGGTAAAAATGACAAAATGTTCAATTGAGCATCCAGATGTTTACTTGCTGTGAAGCTAAACAGCCACATTCCCAAAGGTGGAGCTGCATAGTAACGGGTAGACGAAACATCTGGATGACAGCTTGAAATGGTGTTCACTTTTCATCTGGCTGCTATGGCAGCTTATGGAGCTTGCCTGAACCTCAGGTATATATAGCAAGCAAGCCATGTAGGAAGGTTTTAGGGAGTGATGACAAAAGGAAAGCAGAGGCAATTTTTAAGCCAAACTAAATGCTTGTATCCTATTGATCAGAAGGACTTCTTTAGGTTTGTAGCATGTTTAAAATTTTCCATATTTTCTATAAAAAGGGCAAAGGCACAGAAGAGACCTGTATGGTTGGGAAAAAAAAGCTTCACAAAGCCCCTTCATGGGCCCCCACAAGTGGGCAAAGATGGGTAAGTGGAGTTCACACTTTGTTAGAGTCTTCCTATGTCCTACTCTGACACACACTCTTCACTAACTATTTTTGTTGCTCTCTTACACTGCAGGCAAGTGGGACATGGCCTGCAACCAGTGGAGAATGCAGCTTTCCAAATAAGAAAAACAGAAAGGCAGCTGGTGAGAAACAAGCCATAAGGTAATGGTCAGCAAGAAAACAGAGCTTAAGAGCTTGCCAAATTTTCAAAGCTGGGGCTCCCTTTGACACGAGTGCTTTTCTCAAGCTACATTCTATTGGCAAAATCTGATGGAGTTGGTGAATTTTGAAGCTCTGTTGAATTATGCAAAAACCTTGTGGGGAAGCCTGTTGCGGAGCAATCTGCATGTGAGGGGGGGTCGGCCGTCCTGGCCTGAGAGAGATCCTTGCCTCCTGCACTGATAACACATTTGAATATTATCAAGGCTGGCCTTGTTATCTAGTTACCAGGCAAGTGCTCTTGTCTCTTTCGTTGTTGAACACCTGGGTCATGTGGTGAGCCACAAGTCTTGTGAGACATCTGTCTAAGCAACACAGCAATATTACATTAACCCTCCCTTTTCCTGGGACTTATTGGCAAGACCATCTTTGAGGGGATGCTTATGTCATTTTCTCTGGAGGCACTACCTGATCCTTTCCAAGGTTGTCATTGTCAACCAACCTAATACTGACTACTCTTTTACTGCTTGGCTTGAATTCAGGATAATTCCCCCATTCTTCCTCTTCTACTAGAATGGCATGATTCCAAAGCATCAACAACAGCTTAATTATCAAGAATTTTTCCTAAGTATTTGTCTCTGAAGAATCCATTGCTTTCTTGGGCTCCTGTCAGTATCTCTTCTATTCTTTATGTTTTTTTAAATCCTCACACAGGATATTTTTTCCATTGTTTTTCAAAGAGATTGGGAGAGAGAGAGAGAGAGAGAGAGAGAGAGAGAGGGAGAGAGAAACATTGATGTGAGACAGACACATGGATTCGTTGCCTCCTGCACGTGCCCCGACCAGGGTCGGGTATCAACCCTGCAATTGAGGTACCTGCCCGTGGCCAGAATTGAATCTGAGACCCTTCAGTCTGCGGGCTGATACTCTAACCACTGAGCAAAACTGGCTAAGCCTTCTCCTCTTTATCTTGCTTTGTTTATTCCTGCTTTTATGGGGACTTTGACCCCAGGACCCATTGCTCTCTCTATATATCATTGGAAATCACAAGATTATGAAGTAAACATTAGGGCATCTCCACAACTCCTATTTACTTGCTTTTAGCATGTTTCACAATACACTAATTACAATTCAAGCAGCAACTACCAAAGGCATTCACATGCTTCCTATTTTTCTACTAGCCTTGGTTGACTTTATCAATTCTATGACTCTTTCTCTCCTAGAGAAACCCAGTGCATCTTCCTTTCTGTGACTATCATAAATACTCTCTAGAAGTCATAACATTTATGCTTCAGAAAGGCTTCTGTACTGAGCATTTGGCTTTCCTGCCACCCTGCCACCTGGGACCTAGCTCTATTCTTTCCTATTGATGAATACAAGCAGATAAGCAGCTGGGACACATATTCATCCAATTTGCAGGAACATTCTTTCCTGTGGGGAAGGAGACACACAGACGCACAAAGACACACAATCAGTCTCTGTCTCAGACTCAGTCTCAGTTTCTGTCTCTTTCTGTCTATCACACAGCAGGAAAAGGTTTGGAAGCTCTTGAAGGGTTTTCCTTTTGGCAGGGTGGTGTGGGCTTTGGAGGCACTGTAGAAAAAAATCTTGTGCATTCTTAAGAATGTGTTCGACTTTGCAGCAAAAGACACTGAAGCTGACTCACTATCATTCGCTATGCTTGGTAGTGCTTTCCCAGCATTACAGATGGATGTGACTTAAGCCATTTATACTCACTCATCTGGACTGCCTTGACAGAAGGCAGGCTTCTGTGGGCTGTGGGTATATGGAACAGATTGAAGCCAACTGGGCCAAAAGTAGATTTGACCTCTGATCCTGGCATAATTAGCACTTGTGCTTTAATCAGCATTTTAATTAACCACAGTGGCCTTGGAAGGCTGTGTAAATCACAGAAATTCTCAAGAAGAGCACTCTTGAAAAATTTCAGAACACTTGTCCTAAATCTAAGAGCTCCTAGATATCTCACTTATCTCATTAAATATCCTATGTTGATATCACCCAGTAATACTACCTATTGCAGAATCTTTCAGCTCAACTTTTAGTGAGATAGAGCCAACTTACAAAAGACCCATGATATCTATGAATGACTCTCATCCACTGCCACAATCATGGGAGTTGTTAGGGGAAAACTTGAGACCTTTAGATAGCCCTGTGGAGTCAGGGAGGAAGGAAAGATGCTGTGAAAGGGTGTACAGCTTTGGCAAACTGACTACAGGGGCTGCCTCTCAAGCAGGGCTCTGTTGTCTACCTAGTAGCTCCTTCATCATGTCTCCAAATATCCACCACTCACCAAAACTTCTTAAAAGTTATCACTTCATCTGATTACTTTCCCTAAAATTTCACCAACTGAGGTTCATTTGGAGTTGACAAGCCTCCTCTTTCAATCACAGATGTACCTTTTGGAAGGTAAGGGGCAATTAATCATTCATATAATGAAGGTGAATAGAGCTCGATGTCCAGGAGGACAAATAAGTTTCATTTTGATTGGGACAAGGAGAAATGAAGTTGGCAGTTTTTAGGAATGGAGGACCATAATGGTTAGATTCTGCCCCTTTAAAACATTTGCTTTGAGTTTTCCTTAGACTCAACAAATAGGAAGAAAAAATCCTTTTTCTTCTGCTCTCAGGACCCAGGAACCGTGCCAGAGCTCTAATATAACTCTGCTCCATGTGGGTTAAATCAACCTATGTGGACTGGCTTATAAGCCTGACCACCACATACGTAACACTGTTTCTATGGAGCAATGCATTCCAGTTTCCAAATCAGTGACTTAGTAATGTTTTGGACACACTTCATTAGTATGTTGAGGACTACCTGTATATATTAAAGTGTCCCCCTTTTTTTGTGAAATTTGTAAAAACCCTTGTAAATAGCAAAATCTAATTATGTAAACCTGACAAATATAATAATGTTTATTTGTTCAACAACCCAGGAAATGTTAGCAGTTTGCAAGCTGTTTGTGGAGTAGAGTGATGTTGAGGGGCTTGGAATCATTCATATTGAAATCTTGTGAATGGCTTAGAATGAAGAGAAACTTACTGTTTTCTCCTTTTCCCACCCAAGAACAAAGGGCGCCAAGATTGGAATCTTCTCTTGGTAAGGCAATGGAAAAGCTCACTCTACTTCAACAAATTGTTTTTTAATTTAATTTTTATTTTTTATAATATATCTTTATTGATTTCAGAGAGATGAAGGGAGAGGGAGAAAGAGAAATAGAAACATCAATGATGAGAGTCATTGATCAGCTGCCTCCTGCATGCCCCCTACTGGGGATCAAGCCCACAACCCCGGGCATGTGCCCTGACCAGGAATCGAACTGCGATCTCCTGGATCTTAGGTCAGTGCTCAACCGCTGAGCCACACCTGGCTGGGCAACTTCAACAAATTGTTATGCCTGAGCGAGAAATTAGTGAATGACCATATCTCTGAGGATGAACAATCTCCAGGGTTATTCATGCCTAATTCCAGTGTAAGTTCCCCTAGGAAGTAATTTATTATTTTAATTTTATTATTTTATTAAATTTATCGAGGTGACATTGGTTAATCTGGGAAGTAATTTCAATAAGCTTTGTTCGTTACACAGCCATCACCCAAAAGGCTGTTTGAATGTAAAAGGTAATGAATGTGAACCCTAAGGAAGGTGAAAGAACTACCTCCAAGTTGAGTCATTTCAAAATAGCAGGCACAACTAGGACTAAGATAAGGTCTCTATTTTTATAGAAAAGAAGTAGGAGGTACTTTTTCATTTTGTTTGAATTTCTAGAAAGTATTTAATAAGCATAATTTGCCCCCCCCCCAAAAATCTTCCAGCAAACATACATCTGAATTTCAGTCCACTGTGACCTCAGTTGGCTGGAATGCATAGGAAATAGGGGGAGGAGAAGAGACTGGTTAATTGTGTTGTTTGGATAACTGAGAGCTAAGAAGTTTGTTTTCTTATTGCTTATTATTCAAAGTCTTTCCAGAACTGTTATGGTCCCCTTTCCTGTCTAAGTAAGGATAATCTAGACAACATAATTGAATTGCTCTTGTTAGATACGTGAATATATCAGTGGGCCTCAAGGTCATATTCTGAACATGACGGAAGAGATGTAAAAGATGTCAAGCTAAAAGATATAGAAGTAGTGTATTGAATTGGGCAATTCCCTTAAAGTTTTTTAATTTTCCTCCCTTCTCCTGCCCACTGGCCTTTCAAATCCCTACCCTTCCCCTAATATAAATTCCTTTGAACAATTGTTTTTACTTTATGCTTTTAGTTTTCCAGATTCTACTTTCAAGGGGTTATTGGCAGTGGCTTGCCACATGGACCAAAGCAATGAGGCTTAATTCACTGGCACATTTAAAATAGTTAAGCGAGCTTTCCTCCCTTTTATTATAAAAAATAATCTCTTTATTAAAACAACTGAACCCAAACACATCAGCCAGTAAAGCAGTTAATACCTTTAGAACAGGCCTTTTTAAAGAAAGAAATACCTAAGGTATAATTTGATACCTTTCTCACTAATATTTAATTTTTTCATTATCAATGCACCCTGAATCTATGCTTAAAGTCAAAAGCTTTTCCTAGCAGTTTTCCCTACACCTTCAGTCAAAGTACCCTTGGACTCTTTACAGAAGCTAACTTCTCTCAGCCTCAGGTGGTCTATTTAATACGTTAAAGCTGTTCAAGAGGGTGCAGAAAAGACTGAAGTTGCCTTTCAAGCTCCTTGATCTGAGTTTTGTGTTGTTGTTTTTTTAATATGTCTTTATTGATTTTAGAGAGGGGAAGGGAGAGGGAGAGAGAGATAGAAACATCAATTATGAGAGAGTCACTGATCAGCTGCCTCCTGCAGGCCCCCTGCTGGGGATCGAGCTCGCAACTCTGGCATGTGCCCTGACCAGGAATTGAACTGCAATCTCCTGGATCCTAGGTCCATGCTCAACTGCTGAGCTGAGTTTCTAATTCCCTTTTCTAGACATGGCAGAGAAAGAGACTGAAAAT